ATGTATGTATGTATGTATGTATGTATGTATGTATGTATGTATGTATGTATGTATGTATGTATGTATGTATGTATATGTATGTATATGTATGTATATGTATGTATATGTATGTATATATATGTATATATATGTATATATATGTATATATATGTATATATATGTATTCACTTTATGAGTGCATTTCTTAGCGATGGTGTTGTTGCTGCTCCAGTTGTTGAGTGAGGTCTGCCTGTATGGGAAGGGAATGACCTTAGGAGACAGGTGGAAGAGTGTCAGACTATTGCTATGCAACACAATCATACAATGTGACATCACATGACTGCACCAACTTACAGTGGCAGTTGTGACCATCCCAGTTGTCAGGCAAATCCTATGCTGTCCCAACATCCTACAGTCACACGATAGCTATTTATGACTTCTTGCTTGGTTCCTCATTGACTTTGCTTGTTGGAAGCCAACAATGAAGATTACAAATGGCAATTGCATTACTGCAGGACACCGCAATGTCACGGTTGTGAGCTTGTTGCCAAGCATCCTCGTGATCGCATCATTGTGGGGGACAGTGAAATGGCCACAAGTACAAGGACCTGTCATAAGTCCCCTTTAATCAGCACTTTCGTAAATTAGAACAGCTGCTAAACATGTGGCCTTTATATCACCTCACTCTTCGTTCATCTATAATGCATTATTAGACTGATGGATTCTCATCACTGGTTTGAGTTAAAAAAAAACCCCAACAACTGGGCATTTTTAGACTTGTGTTAAGTGTGGATATAAATAAACATTTATGATCCTTTTCAAAATACTTATAAAAGAACAGCTTCTAGTTCTTAGTCTTCCCGTGTGCACTGATTGAATTGGGGTGGAAAAGGTCAGACAAGAAAAGGGAAGGGTGATTGTTATCTCGTCCTATGAAGATTTATTTTAATCTTTTTCTTCCCCCTTTTTTTACTTTGAAATGAATTATCTTCCCATCATTTCTCAGAACGGCATTTGAAAGTTCTGGGAAAGTTAGAAGAACTAAAATCAGACTAGACTCTTCCCAATGTGATGGAAGGTAGAACCTGGAAAGGGGATGGCGTCAGGGTTCCAAGTAACACACCCTTAGCAATGGAAACACCGAGGCTGTTGAATTCCTCCAAAAATAGATTGGCACAAACTGGTGAAAATCATCTCTAAAAGTTCCCACGGTTTTCACCTAATTAAAAGTAAAAGTTCTTTCACTTTCTCCAAACAATCCGTCACATGGTCCAATCGGGATACAGTCCAGTTGCTAGATGACTCCAGTCCCCTCCTTCTGTTCACCTGGTGGGAATATCCTTGGTTCTCAAGAGAAAGTATTTAATTTTGGCTACAGCACCCCAGCTACCTGTACTCCCCCCCTCCTTTCCCACGGCTTCAGTTGTGGCAGCACTGAAGCCCCAAAATTGGCCACAGCCAGGTCAGCTTTCAGGATTGACAGATGGATCTCCAGGAGGGAGGGGCTGCAGGAATAAGAGGCACATTGACCCAGATATCGTATGTGAGAGAAAGAGGGTGAAGACAGTCCCTCCCTAACAGTTGACAGAGTATATTGTAGATGCAGGTAGTAGAGTGGTTATCCTGACATGATGTTGTCTATAGGTGTGAAACAATGTTTTAAAAAAACTTGGAATAATTACTACATGTGACCTAAAATAGGTGTTCTGACCGAGGCTTCCCAAGAGCATGAAACACGCTCCTTGTCCCAACAAAAATCCCTTTGATTAATTTCCCATGAATTCTGCTCATTCACAACCAGCAAAGTCTATCAGAGGAGGATTTACAGTCACAGGCCTTATCTGGCTTGGAGAGCTGCCAGGTCGATTTCTGCAAAACTTGCCAAGGAGTCACAAACCAATTAAGTGAACTAATTGTCTCCTGCAAACTCCACTCCCTTTTCACTCCTCTTTTATTTCCTCTGGGAGGGGCCATTCATCGTCTGGCCTTATCCCCAAGTCGACCCCTGTTCTTTAGCTGTTCCCTTCATCTGGCAACGCTGCACATGTGCACACTGGGAACAGGCTCCAGCTGTTCATCGGCCTCACTGATGTCTGACTCAGAAGGCAGCTGATAGTTGGCATATGGCTCTCTGCCACATACGGCTCTCTGCCTCTGACACAGAGCCCTCATCAGAGCCTTCCCCAGGCCCCAGGACTGGCCCATGTTCTTCCCCAACCTCCTCACTGTCCGAATCTGCTGCCAGCTCTGCTGGCCTCTGGCAGGCCACAACAATAGGGAAGTCCACTGTCCCACACAGGAGACAATGCATTGAAATCAAGGGACAGATTTGTGTATCTTTGTCTAAGAGTCTTTCCATCTTGGTCATATAACACTCTTGCTGCAGTTAACCATGGGAAAAACAACCATCCGTAAGTCATCCATCTAGTTTTTTTATTAACGTCTTTGAGTGCCACTATGCCTGTTCTTCGCCACTGTGCCATTTGCAGCAAGTAATGCCCCACAGTTGCCGCAGAAAAGCGACGCTGCCATTCACGTTATCTCTGTTTACATTGTGAGACCTCGAGGCATTCTGCACAAGGCTGCCCGCTGAGATTCTTACAGCAAGTCAATAGCTAAGTGCAGCATATTATGGCAAGCAGTTGCCTTAAATGCCCCCAAGCCTGGTTTATGAGGAAGGGATTCAGCCCTTTTGGGGAGTTTTAGATGGGAAGGCGTTTGGTAATTAGGCAGAGCTCTTTTAGATGATGTTCAGGTCAAAATTTGATCTTTCCGGCCCTGTGGAACGATCTACCTGCAGAGATCCGCACCCTTACCACTCTCCCGGCCTTCCATAAAGCCATCAAGACCTGGTTGTTCCGGCAGGCCTGGGGCTGTTGATTGATATCCAGTCCCGTTTAGATGGAATGGGTGACATGAATTTTAATATTGTATTTTTATTTTTTTATCTCGATTTTTTAAAATTAAATGTTTCTTGTCTGTTGTGAGCCGCCCAGAGTCCCTATGGGAGTGGGCAGCATACAAATTCTAATAAACTTGAAACTTTCCTATTAATCTTTGCACTCAGACTGGTTCAATTCTACCCCTTCTGACCCCAACAGATTCTGAGCTATTAAGAATTTTGGAAGAATCTACAGCTGCATGCAGTATGTTTTGCCTGCTTAACCAGTCGATCCACTGGTGACAATGAAAACTACCATTGGCAGAACTTTCTGCCGTGAGGTCAAATCCTGAATCTACAGCCTTCTCTTTATCTCACAATTTCTGATGCTCAAGAAGTCTCAGGATGTTGTTTATCTTCTCATCTGTGTAATCATTGTCTCTGCAATATTAAAGATGATGTGTGTTCAGATCCACCGTCCACATAGCCATAAAAATGGAGAGGCCGTTACTTTTGACTTCCAGGGTGTCAAAATCAATGCTGGCTAGACATGATGTCCCTTTTTTGTGGGGGAGAATTGTGTCATGATGGTTAATTAGCACATTTCCTCTTTTTCCTAAGGAAATCTTACAGCTGTCAGGGTTCCAAATAGCATCCAAAAGTAAATCGGAGCCCAAAGCAAAGTATTGCTCAAAGTTCTAATTTATTAAGAGAGCCATATTGGCAGGTCTGGGAAAACCCGAATCTCAAAGCTTCCCAGTTTCCCCCACCTAGTTGAAAGTTCAAGATCTTGCCCCCACACCCACA